AGTATCTGTACTGGAGTAGCACATGCAAATGAAGCCGAAACAGAGAATCATTGTTTAATAAAATTTGCTGCAGAAAAAGCAAAACTATCTGTGTTTTAGTAAAGGAAACAAATGAAAAAATGCATTTTTGAGACTTTTCCTTAAAGAGCACTGGGGTTGAGGAAATGTCTTTATTTGGCTTAATAATCTTGTTTCTTCCCATTAACATTTTCAGCAGATTAACTGTTTAACCATTAAACACGAACCCTACAAGCATTTAAGTGCACACCTAACTTTGCTCACATGAGTTATCCCACTGAAATGGGAATACTGTCCTGAGCAAAATAGTTCAGGGTTCAAATTAGGAATAGCCAAACTCCTTAAAGCAGCACTTTCAAATATATTAGAATTAGTTCAACCTTTCACTCTTCTGAGTCTGTAATTTAATTGATTCTTGACTTAATTATATTAGAAACTCTTCATGCAACGGTAAATGTTTCCTAGATGTTGTTTATCTAGTGGTAATATTTTAAAAATAGGAATATGCATAATATTGTGCATCTTTTTGTTCTTATTGCATTGTTATTTTTTACTTGCTTGGTCAAAACTATTTACCTTCTTTTACTGTGAACCATGTGACCATCAAGATCTACTCTAGACATAGTGGTATTTAGTGACTTTATAATGATAAAGTCCCTCTGACCTTCTCTAAAGATACCCATTTTTTAGAAAGACGACATATACCCACACATACCCACGTGTATATATGCGTGTGTGTATTTATACACACACACTCTTGCACACATAAAAAACAAGTTTCTAAATTCCGGGAAGTTTAGTGCGATCAGTTACACCAGCTGGTATCCAAAGAATTTTTGCCAGACAGAATGGTACCTTTGCAGCATGTTTTGTCACAGACTTCAGCAAGGCCAGGACTTAAGAGTAAGCCTACAGGGCTCACCCCACTGGAATCTGGAGCTCTGTAGCACACTCAAAGCTACTCTTTAATTGTAATCTGTCTCACATGTGGAGATCATCATGTCTGTCTGTGACAGACCCTTTTCTTTTTGGGTATTTGTCGTTCGAGGAGTGATACCTTGAACCGAGCTAGGTAGAACATCTTTTAGAGTATGTAAGCGCAAACTCTGTAGGAAAGCCATATTCATAATTGAGATTGGATAAAAAATATGGTGCAGTTCTCACAGTAGTAAAGTTTTCCCAATTGGAAATGGCAATAGAAGATTTGTCTGCCTTGTGTAAAAGATACATTTTGCAATACGATACAGTTCTTTGGAGTGAAAAACAAGACAGACAGGAGAAGAAACAATAGCATTTTTTCCCAGTAAAGTGAGCAATCAGAATTTAGCTCTGACACCAGCTGACACTTATGGTGTTGTGCCTCCCATCCTCTGTATAACACCAAGTAAAGGATCAGTTTGGGGAATTGTAAATGTTCTGTTGGCAAGACCTAATAATCTATTGCTATCATGATAATTGTAATCCTCCAGCACCCTACCTATACACTGAGCAGCCTGATAAAGAGACATCTGACACGATAAAAATAGTCCTCAGAGATTCCTGGGTTTTACGTTGCTACTGCTGTCAGTGCAAATATAGGCTAGAGTGACACCACCTTCCATTCTTCACTCCAGAGCTTTATTCAAGAGTCTGTACGGTGCTGCTCTCTCCAACAACTACCTCAATGTCTAAAGTGTCTTTCTTGTTTGAGCAGCTTTGCTAAATTTTGTAGAAAAGAAAGGGAAAATATATACTGCTGAAAATGCCAAATACAAAATGTTTGTGACTTAAGCTGAGTGGTTTGTTTCAAAGTTAAAACCTGGTCTGTACTTGGTAACGGCTGCCCCATGTAGCTGATAACCGCTGAAGTTGTACTGGTAGGTTTCTTCAAGAGAAGTGATGCTTATAAGAAAAGTAGTAATTCACTAATATCAATTCAGTCAGTTCCCTGGACAGAGAAAGCTGTGGTGGTAAAATGACCATATCTACGTAAGGGCCTTTGGAATTATAGCTGTGACAATCAGAATAATAAAAAAAAAAGATCAAATCTCTTACTGTCATAGCTATGCCTGCAAAACTTCTGAGTATATACCAGGTCTCAGAAAAGCATGTGCACTTGAAGAATAAAAAATAGGCTTTGAAGTAAGGAGCACTCACTGAAGATGGATGGGCTGAGGTCACAACTCTACATGTTTTATTGTTTTAGTCCATCTGACTTGCAGAACAAACAAGGCAGCCAAGTGCTGATTTACAGGGGGGAAGGTTATCTTCCTGACCAATAAGGACCAAATGTTCTGGTTTTGAGAAACAAAATCAGATTTTATGGAACATAAAATCCTTGGAAACTGCTGCTGATTTCCTGCCTTCAGGAATTTCTTTTTGCATCTGGCAGAAGCTTAAAACAGTAAAATTGTGCAGTTTAGGAAGCTTTTCACAGCAATGACTTCCTAATGCTAAGTACGACAGAGTCGTAAAACGTGCCACAGAGAAAATGAGTAATTGTAGCTGATTTCTTGTTTAATCTAACTCGTTTACAAACTAACTTAATTTGATTATTGTCATTCTCTTGCACCAGTTTTTACTTGCACGTTGGTTAAGGGTCAGCTACAGGTGGGAAACTGGGTCCAACTAAGTACCAGCCAGGAGCTGTTATGAAAACATGGCAAACTGGCAAATCCAGATATGGATTTCTGAACTCCACGATGCACAGAACTGATCTGATAGCCTTAGCTGTCTAGCAAATGGGAGTTTTCATGGAAATCTAACATCAAATTTAAGCTATCACTAGGCAGTATCTCACAGGGAAAAAAAAGACTGTAATAAATTTACTCCATAAAAGCTTTGGGGTAGGTAGATTCACAAAGACACTCTAGTCTGCAACATTAGACGTGACAGATTCTCAAAATCCCCAAAGCCTCCTAAGCTGCCAAGGAGGAAGAAATTCTTTGGCACCTATATTTCTGCCCATGATTATTTGTGATATCTTAACACAGCTGCAGTACTCAGGGACCTACTTGACAACTAAGCCCAATGAAGCATGAGGACATCTTACATGGAGAATGTCTTGGTTTATCAAATATGTTAATAGTCATATCACCCTGCTGAATGGTGGATAGCTACTCTGCCCAATTTGGAGAAAATAATTCTTCCTTATGTCTGCTGAGGGTTTTAGCCATTGGTCTACCGGACATACTGGGATGGGATAGCCTTGTGTCTTGCACAGAAACAGTGCCACCTATATCCATAATTAAATAGACACTGGAGCAGGGATTTGGACCTATCTGTGCCTCTTGCCAGTCAAATGTGCTGAAGACTGCACTGCAGGATAAAATTCTCCTTGTCTATCTATGACCCAATTAATATTTAATTGTTTTATGCAAAATGAAACAGGATAAGCAAGCTTCTTTTCAGGACAGCGTGTAGGTAGGACTTCTCCTGAGAGAATGGGAACCTGGTTCATGTCTCTTATGCTCAGTCTGACAGTGTCCCATGCACAAAATCAGTGCCCTAGCTATTGAGCTGTTGGGGAACATCCCATGATTTCTCACAAAAGGGCTGAGTAGCTTTAGTTCCTACTTCAAAAAGAAAGTTCCCAGCTGAGAATCGCAGTCAGAGATACATGCCTTCCCCTTCACAATTAACCTTGGCCAAGTCTTGATGAATCTAAGTCGGGAACTAAGTTCTGTACAACTGCACTTCATTGGACTACAGCCTCATTTTATCTTCTTGTATTTCTGTAACTTTGTAAGTTTGTTATGATTGAGATTGCTGTTTGGCGCATGATCAATGCTGTATTTGAAAAACAAAACTTGCTCCAAGAAAGCTCGAGAGAGTGAGAGATCATAGTTGAAAGTTTTTTTGAAAAAAGTGCTTGTTTTTCTGGATACAGTGATCATTGTTCAACTGTTATGATGATTTTAACTAAACAATTCTACGTTAGTTAACTGTTCTATTACAAGACTTATTGTATAAGCAAAGTCTTCCCTAAAATGGAGGCCTCTCAATAAATAGAAAAATAAAAGTAAAATTAACTTATGCTCAGAGAACCAGCCCCAAAATCAGGGACCACTTCTGTCTTATTTTGAGGGGTTTAAGGTGATTCCGTACTGTTGGCCCCTTGACACATCACATTTGAGTGACAAAAGTTGTCAAGGTGTTCTTCCTCTCCCACACGTGTTTCTAGAAGGAACAATTCTTGATACTGTATGTTGTGAGTCATAATAGCAAATATTACTGGAAAGTTACAAAAGTCTTAAAAAAAAAGCAAACTAAGTTTAGCTCAATTATTTATCAGCCCTTTCCCAGAGAAAGGTGTCAGCACAGACAATATTTGAAATTCATGTAGTATTTGATTAGACTGAATGATTGTTCTTACAGCTGAAGATATTAACATTCATTAGTCTTACTTACTGGTCATTAGTATTGCCTTTATTATCAAGTAAAGAATAAATAGAAATTCTAATAAAAATTCATCAAGTCTTGTGTTTTCCGGTGCATTAGATCTGTATTTTTAAGGCTGATAACACAAAAGTTTGTTATAAACATTTTAAAAATCCTCTAATAAATCTGTTGTATCTTAACTCTTTTAAACTTAAGCAGGCTAAGAGAGATTCCCATATATTTAACATAAAGTGCTAATCACGTATTTTTTACTAACACACTAACACACTGCTATGTGATTCTGCAGAATGGTTAAAACTTGTTACATATAAAATGACTAATCACAATTAATCTCTATTAAAGAAAAGTCAAATTTCTGTATTATGTTTTGACAGCAAATAAGAAAAAACCCTAAGAAGACTAAGAAATCATGCAAAATTTAATAGGTTTCATTTTAATTGATCATTTTAATGGTACACAAAATGTAACAAAATTAAAAGCCTATTAGTGATCATTGTTCCAAAAATGCACTTTACTCCCATTAATTTACTTATATGATTTCAGTGGAAGCACATTTAAAGTGCAGCTGTAAATATTTTTAATCTTTGACATTTTTTTTCCAGGAGCCTCTGAACGTTATTGATCCCAGTTTGATGGATCTAAATGGTCCAAGTGAAGATGCACTAGAATGGGATGAAACTGACATAAGTAATAAGCTGATCAGTATTCATGAAGACTTAAGTGATCCTGATCAGGAACTCAAGAAGGATGATCTAAGCCAGAAACCTGCTTCGGGAGAAAGTGGTGATAACGATGTGAATGAAGACGAAAGTATCAGTGAACGTGGAAGTCCTCTTTATTGTCCCAGCATTACTTCCCCTCCAAATCCTCACATCTATCAGGTCTATAGTCTTCATAATATTGAATTATCAGAAAAAAAACACATGCCTTTTTTGAAAAAAACATCCAAACTCTCCAGTGTAACACAGTCTAATATTTTAAACAAAAGTCTTAGTAAAGACTCATCATTTTCATCTACCAAATCCCTGCCAGACCTAATAGGGGGGACCACACTGGCAAAACCATATAACTATATGTATCAGAGTGGAAACATAAGCAGGCATTCTGAGAGTGAGAGTGGGATAGTGAGTGAATGTGACACAGAAACTACAAATAATTCAGAAATTTTTTTGCTAAATGATATTGAAAGCACCCAGAGTAATCCTGAAATTGGGCATGCAGAAACTCAAGTGGATGACATAGTCGGTGTAATAAAACAAAAACTAAAACAAGATGAAGAAGAACATGCTAATCTCTCAGGCGATTTCCAGTTGGCACCTTCCGCGTGTTGTGGAAGTGAAAATGATGAGGATTTGGACAGCATTACCATGGGTAACCCTGTTTGTCTAGAAGAATTGCAAGGAAAACATGACGTGTTTACATTTTATGATTACTCATATCTTCAAGGCTCCAAATTCAAATTACCAGTGTTAATGAAACAATCACAAATTGAAAAAACGCATACAGAGGGCAGTTTGTTTCATGGGTTTTGTTTTGATAAAATACCTGGCAAATCTGAACATAAGCCTGGAGAGTCACAACCAGATGCGTTTATTCATGAGCATACTCTGGCAAGTATCCCTGGAGAATCAGTTCCCAATTCCTGTAAATCTGCAGATGCTGTAAGAAAATTAACTGTTACAGAGAATACAAGACAGGTTTCAACTTTGTCTCGTAGTTCTTCATTAGAATCTCTGTCTGTAGTAGGTGATTTGTTCAGCTCAGGTATTTTTAAAAGTGGAGACGGTCTTCAGCGAAGCACCTCTTTGGAGAGCTGGCTGACTTCCTGCAAAAGCAATGAAGATCTTTTTAGTCATCATGGCTCAGGAGACATAAGTGCAAGCAGTGATTCTGTTGGAGAGCTCAGCAAAAGGACATTAGATCTCTTGAATCGCTTAGAGAATATCCAGAGTCCTTTAGATCAAAAGATAAAGCGCAGCATCTCTGATATAACACTCCAAAGTAGCTCCCAAAAAATGTCTTTTACTGGACAGCTGTCTCTAGATATTGCATCCTCAATCAACGAAGACTCAGCAGCTTCTCTTACTGAACTCAGCAGCAGTGAGGATCTTTCTCTCTGCTCTGAAGACATTGTACTGCACAGAAATAAAATACCAGATTCAAATGCATCATTTAGAAAACATCTTAATAGATCTGTAGCTGATGAAAGCGATGTCAATGTCAGCATGATTGTTAATGTCTCCTGCACTTCTGCTTGTACTGATGATGAAGATGACAGTGATTTGCTTTCAAGTTCCACCCTTACTTTAACTGAGGAAGAGCTAGGTATCAAAGATGAAGATGATGACTCCAGTATAGCAACTGATGAGGATATTTATGAAGAATGCAATTTAATTTCAGGACTTGATTATATAAAAAATGAACTCCAAACTTGGATTAGACCAAAATTTTCTTTGACAAGGGAGAAGAGAAAAAGTAACCTCAGTGATGAAATTCAGCACAGTAAAGAAGTTAGTAACGAGACATCGAAAGGCACAGATACACTAAGCATTGAAACACTATTGAATGGTTCAGTACAGAAGATATCAGAAAATAATGGCAATAGTAAGAATGTACCACGTGATCGTGAAAAAGGGACAAAGAGTCACCTGATGAAAGATATCTCTCAGGCTGTGAAGGATCAGCTTGTGGATGATATGGAGAATGGCAATGTTGAAAACACTCTTGGCAGTCAAAAGGAAGGTCTTGTTAGAACATCAGCAACTCTCAAAACTCATGCATCACTTGATGTCAGAGAAGCTGAAAATGAATGTTGTGTCTATGAAGCATTTACAGACAGTTCAGATGATTCACATATGGATGGCAAGGAGACCGTTCTGTCATCAGATGGATCCAGAAACCCTCCAAAAGAATGTCAAAGCCATCTTCAGCCTGATTGTCACTCTGTTGCTTCCTCTCCTGCTAAAAAGCCATGTCTTGAATCTTCCTCAGAAATGAATTCTGTAGACATTCAAGATACAGCTTTACAAACATCCTTACCTAATGGTCAACAACATGGAATAAGCATTACTGAAAAATCTACTGATTGCTGTACAGCCTTGAAATCCAATGAAGCAGAATGCGACTCCTCAGCCAATGGTCTTGAGTCATGCTGTAACTGTGAACCTGTTGCTTTTGATAAAAAAAACATAGAAGATGGCTCGGTACACAATTTTGTGAGGGAGATAATAGACATGGCATCGACAGCTTTGAAAAGTAAGTCACAACCTGAATGTGAGTCCTCTGCTCCAGCTTCATTAGCACAGATCAAGGAAAAAGTATTAGAACACTCTCACAGACCCATTCAGCTAAGAAAAGGGGACTTCTATTCTTATCTTTCACTTTCTTCTCATGACAGTGACTGTGGAGAGGTAATCAAATACATAGAGGAAAAGAGCAGCACTCCTGTGCCACTGGACTTCACAGATGAGAGAGAAAATATTGAATGCTTTTTTGAAGCCTGTCCTGAGGAAGAACGGGTTGAGCAGCAGCAATCCATTTCCAATGGTACTCCCGAAGCACGAGTTGAGCAGCAGCAACCTATTTCTAACACTATTTCTGAAACATCTCCAGAGTCAGTAGAAGTGACTCTAGAGTCATTAGAAGAAGTTAAAACTTCATCTGAAGGTAGGGATTTATCTTTCTTATGTGATGATGACAATGATATAAAGGTCCCCAATCCTAAGAAACAAAGTGTATCAAACAATTTGAAAAATGCTGCTGCTGATTTGCTGCTTTCAGACGAGCAAACTGAAGGTTTGGAAAAGAATTCTCCAGGGCTTAGCACTAAAAAGAGTAGTACAGGAAAATCACCTGGAACTGAAGAGCCCAAAGGATGTGTTGCTGCTTCTGAAGAGGCTTCAGCTATAGAGTTTCAGTTAAAGCCTGGCCATTCACAGAAACAGGATGTTGTGCATCAGAACAGTAAAACTCTTACTTGTGAAGAAAATCTCCTGAATCTTCATAAGGAAAGACATATAAATATGCACAGATAAAATGTAACCCTCTCCAGGCACGTACATTATCCTAAAAACAGGTATGTACTCTACAAGTTGCACATTCATTTTTTTTTTACATTTTTTTGCCTTTTTTTTCACATTTTTGTACAATGAAAGGAGATGAATCACCACCCAGGGCTTCTGTTTTATGATAGTGCTATATCATTTGTTTTGATTACACTCTAACCCCAATTCACATGCCACTGGTCAACAATGCAGTGAATACTAACTGCTTCTTGCCCTTTGGCTTTGCACTGACTGGAGCTGCTCCCTTCTGGAAAAAATCTGCTATCTTGCAGAACTTGGGAATTCTTCAAACGTAATATTTCTATATCAGTCTCCTCTTCCCTCCTCAACTGAGCTGTGGAACCAGAAACCAGCTCTACTCATTGATCCCCTTCTCCACGGTCAGCTGGCCTTACGAGGTGTTCAAAAGCACTTGATGAAGCCGAACTTCCAGTTTTACAAGCATTTTGGGTGACTAGTGAGTTGGAGTTCTACAATATTTCCAGACAAGCCATGAAGAATGGCTGAGCAGACTGGAGAATAAGTAGAGAGATAATAAGTTATCTCTTGATGTCAGTTTACCATGATTTAAGTTCAGTAAGCCATTATAAAGAAAACAATTATTACAACACGGTGATAGGCCAAAAGTTGAGGTTACCAAAATAAGAAATCTTTGCAACATCATTAAAGAGTATAATGTGAGGGTAATGTAGAATAAAGACCTGAATACCAAAGCAGATGGAAACTCATAGCCACACAGCAGTACTGGAAGCTTCGGTTCTATTTTGTGGTAAGCATTTTGAAACATAAGTAAGATGGTGGAACCTAAGATGAAAAAGTGTCTCTGACCTCTTCCAAAGTTTGAAAGTGGTTCAGATCTGGAGTTTATGACCTCACATAAATGTCTAAGTCTAAGAATAACTGCACATTTAACAACAAAAGAAGATCTACAAAGCAACTTGTGGATCAGATCCTAGCTAGTTGTTTGGTGACCCCAAAGCCAGCATAGCTGTACAGAATTCCATTAGTCTTTGGAAACACCCCTCCAGTAGACCAGAGCCAGCATGGCAACTCCAAATGCCACTCCAATTCCAAATGCTGCTGCTTGCCAGAAGTTGTAGCAAGGGAATTTCCAATAAAACACAAGGCTAAGCACGGGACCACGTTTCCCCAGTAAGTTCTGGAATCTCCATCCTTGGAGATTTTCAAAATTCAAGTGGACATGGCCCTGAATAACCTGATCTACCTTTGAAAATAGACTTCCTTTGAGCAGGAGGTTGGACCAGATGATGTTCAAGTTTCCTTCCAACTTACGTTATGATATGATTCCATGATGTTGCTAGGAGAAAAGGTTGTTATTCCTCACTGCCCATGAAAACCACTATACTCTCCTATTGCAAACTATGTAGCTGTAGCAGAGGATCTGGACCTATTTATACGAAATAGATTGCTTTGCTGCTATTAGGTATCTAACTTCTGCATTTCCTGATTTTGCTATATTATATTTCTATTCTTTGGGCTTTTCTTTTGCACATATTGGTGGTTTACCCAGCATTCTCACATTCACATATGTATAAATATGTCCAGCAAAATCTTTAGGTTATGAGAGAAATAGTCTACAGCTTGCCACTATCTCTTTCAACACATATTTGAATAATGCATTATCTTGGAACCATCATAGCAAAGAGGATATTTCTTGAGCGGCTTTGAAATAGGCTATCATGACCTGTTGATTGCCAACTAGGTTAATACTTAGACACATCCAAAGAACTGGAGAAGCAATGGAAATCAACTGGGAATTACAAAACTCACAGATGACACTATATATCCTAGAATTACATTAAAAGGATTATGTGTATATGGAAGCCTCTATTCGGAAATTGAGATGATGACAAAAGTCTGAGGTTGATAAATGATAATTATGTAAACATAAGCTTGTCCTAAATTACTGTTTTATTAGTTTTCTCATTTTTTTCACTCATTTTTATAATTTAATTTGAGGAAGGATTCTTACAATAGTGAGTGTGACTTTATTCTTGTTCTCATTCTTTCACTGATAAAGATAATAACATGCCTTTTCAATTCATTAATACTTTTCCTCTGAGGATCTCAAAATACTGTATAAACTTTCCCTCACTTTTCAGAACTTCATAGTTACTTACATGGTAGCCAGCTGTGTTTTTCATAAGACTGGGATGTGACAATATGCAGTTGGTGTAAGGACTAAGATTAGACACAGAGGATGGAGATATTAATAAATGCCCCACAATGCAATCAAACGTAATGCAGAGTCTGTATGCAACACCTTAATAGGGTTATGTTATAGTTTTAATTTTTGCCCAGGGGTTGACAAATACTTTTAAGGTAACAAAGCCCTTCACACTACATCCCAGTTTTTAACATTTAGGAAGATATACTGGTTCTTGACTGATACATATAGCATTGCTTCCATGGAAATTATATACTGTATTATTCCCAGTAGTAAAGCCCTAGGATACATATAGTTTGGCACATCAAAAAATGAAAATATGAGCTGCTAGATTTGGTTTCACTCAAGTCTGAGCTCCCTTCCCCCATTCACAAGCTTGGTGCTTTAACTTCATCTCTCATGCTATGGGGAATGAATTACAGAAGCAATCTATCCTAATTTGTTAACTTATTCAAATAACAGTTATTATACTTAACTATGCTAAAGATTATCTTTTTGGTGGCAGATTGTTTATTTTTTGATGAGGCTAATTACTGATTTTCCAAAGGTAATTTACATTTATTACTAATACATCTTTTAAAATGTGACAGATAAATGTTGTTCCCATAAGTGTATTATGAAAAAAGTTACTATTTAAAAACACATTATTTAATTTGAAAGATAAATGGCAAACACCATTATTTTTCCTGTAGCACCTGTGCTGTAAGCTCATTTAAATGTGTAATTCCCTGTGTAGCTGCAATACTTAGAGAAAAATAACCTATACTATATGTGTACCTTAAAAGCATACTGAGAATTCAAAGCTGAAACAGGCATAGTTTCAAATGTAGTTTGATTTTATACTGTTTTAGTATGTACCTTGGCTGTACAGGACAATAAAAGTAATAGTGAAGAAAATATTTTTGTCAAATGTTGCAATCCTGTTATTTAGCAGTGTGCTACAAAAAAATGACCATTATGGGAAAATAATAACAATTCTATAAGCAGGCTTAAAAATATCTCTGTCAGCACTGACTAGTCTCTCATATGAGCTAACATGAAGTTCTTCAACAGAGGTGCTCATAAAGCTATGCTGATTTTATTTCTCAAGTAGGGGACAGCTTGAAAGAACTATCTTTCTGTATATGAGATCATGCGATCTGCTCTCACTGTGACCCATGACTCAGCAATGGGATGGGAATTTTTAGTCACATATTCAATATGCATAGAGATCAATACATTAAGGAGGTTTATGTGATGTGTCCAAAGTCTTTTTTAAAGGATACGTTAGAATTCTGTGTGTAATCTTTTAGTTCTTACAAGTAAGTCCAAAGGCTATTTCCTTCTTTTTGTGCAGAATTTGGAATTTAAACTTCAGTTTTAACTTAATTTAAGGGAAAAAATATTTTACTTGGGCTTAAGAAAATTAAATTAGGTTTATCTGACAGTGCTACAATGTTAGCCAGAATATCCTGCCACTCACTATAGCCAGGAGAAATCCAGGACTGCTACTCAGAAGGCCTGACTGTTATCTGCTGCTCAGCAATAGATTTTTTTTTTATGACTTATTCCTTCCTTGCCTCAGTTTCTTTGGCAACAAAATAATGAGAATAATGATCAATGGGATCTGTGAAGCATGATTTATTCACTGAAAAGTGTTTTGAGATCCACAGATAAAAGACGATACATAAATGCAAAGGACTGTTAGTTAATTATTTATTACAAGAAAAAAATAATATACAGGTTTACACAATTGTTAATATGTAATAATTTACTTTCAGAGACTGGAACTACAAGAATAATCTAAATCTTTGCTTACCGTTTTTTTTCCTAGAGGTTTTTATAGGCAGGTAGACACTATAATGTTTCTTTATAAAGTTTAAAACAATCTGACTTTTTAGCTCCTTACATAGCTGACTTTAAAAAAATTAAATAGAAAAAACAGATAATCTTGTATTGTCTGTGAATTACAAATTTTTGAAAAACCTGACATAATCCATCAGTGAGACTTTTCTTACTATAGATATGTGAAACTCATGCCAGAGTTGTAGAAACCTTTTGATACAATCTTCCCCTTTATTCAGATCAGTTCTTCATTAATTTCTAAACAAACTGTTGAGCTTTTCACTATTTTCATGTAAGTATATTTCCTCTATAAATGGGGGGGAGGGGCAGTCAGTTGCAGCAAATAAGATCAAAGGAGAAGGTAACTGGATAGATCCAGATATTCCTGCTTAATTTGGAAGGCACATAATGCATGTCTGGAGTGCCTCCTAGGAAATGCCTATGAGAGGTACTTTGCACTAATCTTTGAGCTGTATTCTGACAGTTATTTCTTCATAATCCTCATCATAAGCCTGTGCTCCTTGATGAATAGTTTAACCCTAAACTGTGAGCTGGGTAATTCTATAGTATGAAAATTTAACTCATTGCTGGTACTAGAAGTGTCTAAATAGCTATTTACAATTTAAAAATACAGTGATGACACAATTCTATTCATGGACCACTTCTGTGACAATCCTTTCCTCCTCTCCATTGAAATCTCAATCCATGTTTACCTAAATATTAAAATAAGTGATGGGTAGATCTTTTTGTTGCTTGGCTTTTGAAAATCCCTATGTTTTCATTGATTGGTGCGCTTTTGAGTGCGCTGAAGGTAAGTTCGCAGGTAAGGATGAGGACGAGATCCAGGGAAAAGGTCAGATTAGATGACTTCCCTTGTTTCTTAGAAACAGTCTTTACAAAAATCAATGTGTTTTCTACATCAGTACAATTTTTTACACTAACTTGTACCTCAGGCTGTTAAAAGTCATTGTTTGCCTACTGTATGCTTCTGCTTTAAAGGCTCTGGCATGTGATCATTTAATGACTATCTATGGTTGTTCTGGAAGAGCTATGTTTTGCAAATAAAACTTCATTTTCTGTAACCTACTATTACTTTTTTGTTTCCTTTTAGAAACTTGGCTGCAATTCAGGTGCAGGTTCATCCTGTAAACCCTGGGATGACCTCCAATTCCATTGTATCACTGCCTTTCATTACACTGACTCCCAAGATAAATTTTCTTTCCAAATGTGATTTGTCCACGTTGGCTTTGTGATCAGGCTGCATATGCTAGTCCTATTTCAGTGATCATTTTGTATTGTAGCAAGGCCATTTGCTTTCATAGGGATTCCTCTCCCAAGCTACCTCTAATGACCTCCCCTTCCTAAATTGGATGCTCCTATACTAATCACTGGTTCTGTTCTTTAAAGTTTTGAAGTTCCAAGAATTCATGATCAGTCTGCTTCATCTTTTCAGAACTGTACCTGTCAGTACTCTTCTATTTTATGTATCAAATTTAATATTTATGTGTATAATGCATAAGTTTATTGAAACTATTTTACTTTTAAAGTGACAATTTTGTTGGATTGCAGCAAAAAGAAGTCATTAGCCCTCCTGATTCAGTACATCTAAAAATTAAGCAATTAAAATAGATGGCATTTTATTTATTTAATTTTAAAATTTAATCTATGCAACACTTCAAGAAACAACTACATGGTGTTGTATATTAGGAACTGTTGACATTCTACTGAATTAAGTACAACATTTTGGTTTTTTATGCTTCTTGAGGTGGTAATGAGAAAAAAAGTTTTTAAAAAATGTGTGCCTTGCTGTATTTCTTATACCATTTATTAAAAAGCTGCTTTCACAGTAAAATTATGTTGGTTTGAAAGGAGGAAATAGCAAGGTTAAGATGTGTGAATAATTTCTGTATATATGTATAACCAAGTGCAAACATTGATGTATAATGACAGTATAAAATGCTTTAATGTTTGTGATGTCCAGTGATGTGGAAAATATAAGCCTTAAAACCATTAGATTGCATGGTAATTAGAATTGGCATAATAAACATAGTTTATTGGGGAAAAAAAGCAGAACTGGTGATCTGTTTTACCTGCGTTCCAAGAACTGAATGCTTTATCAAAATACAGAAGAATACGTTTTTGCTTGCAAATATTCCCTAGCGATATGCGATTCCATAGCTGGTGAAGAGTTGTGTTACCTGGCTCAGAGGTAAAGAACCTTTTCATTGAAGATTCCGCAGGTCTTTTGGGCCAAACAAGGAGACACAAATATTTAGTAGCTAAAACTAGTACACTGCCAACTGCAGTGGTGGCAATGATCAAGTGCACTTTTACAGCAGATATTTTCTTTGTTTAACAGTTAACAGTTTGTTGTCTGATCCTTAAAATGTCATTCATTTACATAATTATATTGAATAAGATTTATGTATATTTATATAGACCCTTTTACAGTTGACTATTTCAATGACTAAGACAGTACATTTTAAATGTTTTTATCTTGTGCTAGAACTATACTGGGTGGCCAAAATAAGCCAGACAGCTTTACAATGTATATCTGCAAACATGGCATTCATCTCCTAAAAACACTATTGGGAAGGGATGTCAGGAAAGTTAAAAGGCAAGGAATGCTTTCCCATACCACCTTTTATCATTAATTTTTCCAAGTATATAAAGGTTTTTACAAAAAGCTTCAGCATTCTTCTTCCTTTAAAAAATGCGCATCAGTTTGACAAGCTTAGCTAGTAGCTTAGAGGAACTATACTGATCAGCTGATATATTCATACAACACTGAAGGAACGGGTATTTAAAAAAAAACCCTCATGTTTTCTAAATTATTAACAGCTTTCTATTACTGCAAGAGACAAACTATTTCTTTCTCAATTTAAATTTCCACTGTGTAGCCTTGGGTAGGCTATGAGGTGGGTAGGGCAGCAGAAACAACTCTTAGCTTAAAGAAAAGTGTAAATAATAAGAAGCAATTTTTAAGAGAGCCTTTTGAATCCACAAAGTTTTCTGCTCTTGCATATCTTGTATCATGTACAAATTTAATAGGTTAACCTATAATTACCTGAAATGTATAACTATATAGCTAAAGATTACTTTAATATATTTTAAATAGTTTCTTGAATTATATATAAAGTAATTTGGAATATAACTCCTAATTTTAGTATAATTTTTACAGTGATAATCATGTTCATCTATGAATTATTTCAAACATGATTTTTAAAATGGTCTTGACATGGGAATTGAGTTTGGAGTCATTCTTTCTTCCTCCCTAGCATTTTCTGATTTATATTGGTTTTTTTTAAACTTACTTTGACTATAGTCATGCCTTACACTATGATGACAGGAAAACTAATAAGTCAGAGGCTTTTCAGATCTGTCACCTCACCCAACAGACTGTGCAGAAGTCCATCAATTACTTATACCATTCTATTAAGCCATTTGCCACAAATTCGCTTTTTTCCTGGGGGAAAATGTTAGTACTTGTCAAATCAATAAACCACATATTCATCATACAATATCTGGAATATTATATGGTCACAACTCAAATTTCTGTGGTTCCTTTCTGAGAGATGCTGAACATTTTAATTTAACCAGTATTCCCAGATCTATATTATTTCATCTCGTGAGATAAAGTCATCATTTTTATGACTGTGACACAAGACCCATCATTACCAACTATTCCTTTTTTGGCATGATTAGAAGATTTACGTTTTTTATTTTTCTTCTCAGAATATATTGGACTTTGTTGTCAATAAAAATTGATTTCTAAAGGAAAAGAAATCTCTGATATATACTCTACAGGATTTGTTCATGTCTTAGTATAAGTCATATGCTTATGGCCACATTGTGCTTGAAGTTGCAAGAAGTTTTAGTGTTAACTCCCTAAAGAAAAATATTGGTATAGTGTAAAACTAATGTTGATGTACCAATATTACCTCTAAGATCAGCCCATACATAGATTCCTGTATAGATCCTGTTCTCTGCTGGTGAAATTCTCTTGTGGTGTAGAAGCATGCTGTAAGCTTTCTGCAGCATTTATCCCCACCTAAAGTTCCCATAGGCTGCTTTTTATTCCACACACTCCCTGGCTCATGCTTGAACAACATCTGCAATGTGTAAGGAGGCCATTTGACAGCTATGGCCCTGACACGTGGATCTGCCTTTCCTGCCTGCTTCACATTCCTTCCACGGAGAGCCAGAGCTCTCCAGCTCTAAGCAAAGGGAATGCACACTAACACTGGTGGTAAAACACATGCCTGGGACTACAGTTTAAAAGGTGTTTTGTAATCACAGTAGTTTTATATATGGATAACCTTGTAAACCATGTCCCCAATCTTTCTCCCTTAATGGTTTGCCTTTTTGCCAAGGTAAGTCAAAGAGTTTTCATAGAACAGTGCCTCTGCACCTTTGTTACAGTAAGAGAAATTTAGGTGGCATCTCTATGTCCTTGTGGTTAGTTGTGCTGTTCATTTTATACATGTGTACACGTAAGACTACAAACACATGCACACAAGCAAAGATACTGAAATTGTTCCTGTTTGTTTCACAAACAACTCAAATGAAGAGTTGCTGTCAGTTAGATGGCATCTCGACCTTCCTCCTTCAGAACGGTGACGGGATCCACAAATGACTTAGCCTCCTGCGTCATGTATTTTAGAATTTTATTCCACTTCCACTGTGTTGAGCAAAACAACATGTTTTGACTAAAATGTATCTGGTAAAAGGTCTGCTTTTTTTTTTTTTGGCTTGAAGACATCAGGAATAATGTTGTAAAGGTTTCTGTGCTGCAGTCCACAGAAAAGGGGTTATTAACGTTTAGGCCAGACCATACTCATACTTAGCTCGAGAGGATTAACGGGGATGTCAAGTTCTTAGCCAAGTCAATCTCCTTCACTGACAAGTTTCTACAAACTTATTCCTAATAATAGCATCACTTTGAAAGGGATTTTGGCCAACAAATGACATCTGATCTATTGCTTTCAGTGTTGTGTTTCTAATTTTTCAGACTTGCCCTGTCTTTTATAACTTTTCTACCAACCTGGATCACTTACATTTTTCATGTGACTACTGTTTGCTTAGTAAATGCATGTTCATCCCTGATTTTAGAAATGTTTTGTGACGGGTTGACCCTGGCTGGACGCTGGGTGCCCACCAAACCTACTCTATCACTCCCCCTCCTCAGCTGGACAGGGGAGAGAAAATATAACGAAAGGCTCATGGGTCGAGATAAGGGCAGGGAGATCATTCACCAATTACTGTCACAGGCAAAACAGACTCAACTTGGGGAGATTAGTTTAATTTATTACCAATCAAATTAGAGTAAGGTAATGAGAAAATAAAAACTAAATCTTAAAACACCTTCTCCTCACCCCCCCTTCTTCCCAGGCTCAACTTCACTCCCAAGTTCTCTACCTCCTTCCCTCCAGCAGTGCAGGGGGACTGGGAATGGAACTTGGGGTCAGTTCGCCACACGCTGTCTCTGCCGGTCCTTCCTCCTCAGGGGAAAGACTCCTCACACTCTTCCCCTGCTCCAGCGTGGGGTCCCTCCCATGGGAGACAGTCCTCCACAAACTTCTCTAATGTGAGTCCTTCCCATGGGCTGCAGTTTTTCATTAACTGCTCCAGCGTGGGTCCCTTCCATGGGGTGCAGTCCTTCGGGAACAGACTGCTCCAGCATGGGTCCCCCATGGGGTCACAAGTCCTGCCACCAAACCTGCTCCAGCATGAACTCTTCTCCCCAAGGGTCCACAGGTCCTGCCAGGAGCCTGCTCCAGCGTGGGCTTCTCAGGGGGTCCCAGCCTCCTTTGGGCTTCCATCTGCTCCGGCGTGGGGTCCTCCATGGGCTGCAGGTGGGTATCTGCTCCACCGTTAACCCCCATGGGCTGCAGGGGGACAGCCTGCCTCACCATGGTCTTCACCACGGGCTACAGGAGAATCTCTGCTGGGGCACCTGGAGCACCTCCTCCCCCTCCTTCTTCACTGACCTTGGTGTCTGCAGGGTTGTTCCTTTCACACAGTCTCACTCCTCTCTTTGGCTGCAGTTGTACAGGTTTCCCCTGAAGTTAGATTTGTATAAATCAGTAATTTCAGTGTACAAATATTACTGGGATATTGTAGTTATTATCAAAATAATCATTAAAAGTACAAGAAGTACAGAATTACATCATACTTAAAATGAAATGCTATGGTATGGAAAAGAACAATTAGACAAGTAAATGGTTTTACCTCTGCCTTATATTGAGCTTATGTCTCTCTGACATTCTGGGTTTGCAAATGGAAGTGAAAATAATTCTTAAAAACGTGTAATTTTTAAAATATTTTTCTCTTTCTCATAATTACTGTGAGGATGTTTTAAATGCAGAAAGCATCCAGTTGTAGCATTTTCCAGAGAAACATTATGAGAGTGACAGGGAAAGGGAAACATATTTGACAAGATTTCAAGCAATATTGGAAAAACACAAACCATTCTTGATGCACTTCATTTACAGAATGAAAAAAACTTAGACTCTGAAAGAACCGATACAGAGCATCAACCATCTACCCCAAATCTATCCCTTTTTTTCAGGGGGAGATAAATGCTACAGGAAATAATGTGCCCTCAGGCGAGGTGGTATGGCAATTT